AATAATAATAATGAATAATGATAATAATAAATAGCATTTGTATAGTATAAGTTTCCACTCAGCAAGCTCTATGCGCTTTACAATCAAATTATTACACCAGTAGACCTGATAGCATTCTGAAACAATCTCAACTTCCTGGGAAATATACAGTGCAAGCTGCCATTTTCAAGGCACTAAAACACTAACGTACTGACAAGATCTTTCACAAAATGTAAGAGACGTCTGCCTTTTAAAACAAAATGTTTGGTTCCACCCCCTCACTCAAAGAGGCACTGTAATAGAATCCAGCCACTCGGACTCGAACCTTGAACGTTAACATGATAGTGAAACACAAACCAACATATGTAAGTAACTGCCGCATAGCAGAAAACACAAAAAGCCCTGTAACAACAACAACAACATCAACAACAAAACAACAACAACAACAATCATAAAAACAACAACAACAACACAACAACAATGACAACATTAACAACAAAACAACAATAATAAAAAACAATATATGTACCAAACTGCCGCATATTACAAGACAGAAAAAGTCATATACCAACAACACAGGAACAACAGACAACAACAACAACAATAATAATAAAAACAACATCACAACAACAACTCAACACCAAAAACAACCACAAAAACCACAGCAACAACAACAACAACAACAACAACCGCAACAACAACAACAACATCAACAACAAAACAACAACAACAATAATAAAAACAACAGCAACAACAACAGCGAAGAGCACGCTCTTCGGGGCTCCAAACATTTCGAACGCATAGGCTACCACACACACACAACAACAACAACAACAATATCAGCAACATCAACATCAACAACAAAACACCAACAACAACAACAATAGCAACAACAACAACAGCAACAACAACAATAAAAACAACAGTAACAGCAACAACAACAGCAACAACAACAACAACAGTCCACTCACGCAAGCATTCTGTACTGCCGTCTACTTTCTCAGCACAGTAAAAGTTGCGGGCACAGTTGGTCAGGGAGCATGGTGTCTCTGAGGGGAAAAACATTAGTAAGCTTCAAGAAAGAACAACAACCCACCAGTAACATTTTGATCAGTTCAGAATGAACAGTGCTAATAAGTGCTATCATCTTTGTTTACTGTTTTTGTTGTTGTTACTATTGTTATTGTTGTTGCTGTCGTTTGTTGTTTGTTTGTTGTTATTATTGTTTTTATGTATAGTATAGTATAAGGTTTTACGGCGTTTTATGGTTGTTATTGTTTTTGTTGTTTTAAATAGCAGGTTTGTAAATGCCTCGGGTGATTTTTTACTTCATTAATTTCACGGAATAATCTATAGGTACTGTTATAATAAGGGTATGTTTATGGCTAGATCTAGTACCTTGACTTTTTGAAAGAATGGACTCGTTACGTCATTATGCTTTTCAATTAACCCTTTCAAATGGTTTCTTTGTTTAATATTGGGTGGGTGTTCCTCGCCTAGTCAGACAATCAATGCGTCATTGTAAGGCGGGACCCGCGCTGTGCTGGGTTCTGCGGGGTCTGCTTTGGGTGGGTGCCAGCAGAAAGTATTTAATTTAGTGTCTCTGGTGGTAGGCCGGACCGTTGAAGAACAACACCACACCGGCACAAATGAGAGTGTATAGAACGTTTCATGTCCCCATAGACACGATTTAGATAATCAACTGTTGAGGTGGTCACGAAAGAGATCTGGACCGAAGACACTTTCTAAAACTGAACCGAATGGCTATCTTAAAATTGCAAAGTTCTATCTGACATTTTTGGCCGTTCTAAGTTACTATATAAGACCAAGTGGCCAGGAACCAAATTGGATCTAATGTTGTGTCTGCTCTATCAAAATTGTAAGATTAATCGGAGTCGTTATCAAGATATTCAAAGAATTGCATTCGAAAAAGTTTGACATTTTGTGAAAATCGTTTGGTTTTTTACGTCAAATTTCTCTGAACTAGACAATGAGCAGATAGAACTTTGTCATTCTGGGGTAGCGGAATGAACGTGTTTTACGTCCCTGTCGATGTAATTTAGATCATTTAGGAGGTGGGCTTCGACCCTGCCTGTCAGGACCAAACCGGGCTGAGAGTGACACAACATTCCAGCAGAAAGAACGAGATACCCGATGAAAAATTATCTTCATCATACAGGAATCGAGGTCTGCGTGCGACAGCGAAGCCCCTAACCGCTACTACAGACGCCGGTGAAGCCAAAGCCAAGTCTTCAACATGATATGATGAAACGCCAGGTCTGAACCAGTCATCGACGATTACGATTTGGCTACTCAAGAACTGTCCCCGCATTATGCACCCCGCATTATGCAACCCGCATAATATAGCAAAATTTGATCATTTTTCGTTAAATTTCTGATTATTTTCCTTTACCATTTTTTGTTAAAAATAACAGAATCGCAAAATTTCACATGTTTTGGCTTAGTTTGCATAATTTCAGAATTGTTCTTGCATAAAACGACGGGGACAGCTGGAACTACAATGTTCTATCTGTTCAGTGCCTAGTTTTGAATAGTTTGACGTGAAAAATGTTGAGTTTCACAACTTGTCAATCTTTTTTTGGAATGCAGTTCTTTGAATACCTTGATAACGACTCCGCATGATCTTACGATTTTGATAGAGCAGAGATAGAACATAATAATCATTGGTTTCTGACCTCTGTCTTAGTAACTCAAAACGGCCGAAATGTAAGATAGAACTTTGTAATTCTGAGCAGGTAACGTCTTTCCATTGAATTCTATTCTCGAATTCTCTCCAAAAACTTTATAGAGGTATAGTATTGTCCTGGTCTTTCCCCGTCACCTATCAGTTCAAGTTATCAAAACTTCAGTTTGTTCTTTGTGTGCTCCTGCTTTTTTGCCTTCTATCTATCAAATGATATGTGTAACGTAGCTATTTTAAGAGCATCAGAACAAAGGAATGGATGGAGAACCATAAAATAATCGACGATGTCTGTCGCACATGATGAGGATAATGATCTTTCCAGTTCAAGACTTATATTGTTATGTCTGTTCAGCTGTCTCAGAAACTATATTTAAATTCAAATGTGTCTCTTAGTTTACTTAGTTTTAGTAGAGGTTTTACGGCGCTCGCAACTGCATAAGGTCATATGATGTACACGCAAAGTCTGTCATCAATAATTTCTTTATATGTCCTCAATTACCATCTTTATGCAGACGATACACAGCTGTATGAA